TACCACTTTGAGTAATGAAGAATCGGCTCAGGAGAAAGAAGAGCAAACAAAAATTCTGGTAAATGTGCCCTTCCCCCAAGCTCTCCGACCTGCTGGGAAAGTGCTGGAAAATCAAAGTGAGATCCTGGAGCACTTGACACAATTGAAGATCAATTTTCCTTTACTACATGTGATCAAGCAAGTGCCAGCCTACGCCAAGGTTATAAAGGATCTGTGCACTATAAAGAGAAAGCACCATGTCAAGAAGACTACATTCTCGACGGAACAAGTGAGCACGGTGATTGAGCAGAAGACACCGTTGAAGTACAAAGATCCTGGTTGTCCCACCATTTCCTGCACCATTGGGACACGCGAATTCGGCCAAGCATTGTTAGACCTAGGATCGAGTGTTAACCTTATGCCTTATTCAGTCTAGTCACAATTAGGTCTTGGAGATATTAAGCCCACATATGTGGTTCTGCAACTGGCCGATCGATCTATTAAGAGACCACGAGGAATAGTGGAAGATGTGTTATTGCAAGTTGATAAGTTCTACTATCCTGTGGATTTCGTTGTTTTGGACACTCAGTCAGTGGTTAATGTGGAGTCCAAAATCCCGATCATCCTTGGAAGATCATTCCTCGCGACAACAAATGCTCTAATTAATTGTAGAAATGGTCTAATGAAGATCTCTTTTGGGAATATGACTCTCGAGGTAAATATTTTCAACATTGTAAAACAACCACAAGGTGATGACGAATGTCACCAAACATTCCTGATCGACAAACTTGTCGAGGAGGAGGTTCTGCTACAAAGTAACTTTGAAGATCTTGAAAATCTCCTCCAAAATTCTGAATCTGAAAGTTCCGGTCCTTGTGAGTTGGCTAACATTTCTGCCATTTTCAACAACTCACAGGATAGAGGAATTAAGTTTAAGCAACTTCAGTGGTTGATGTGGAGTCAAAAATCCCGATCATCCTTGGAAGACCATTCCTCGCGACAGCAAATGCTCTAATTAATTGTAGAAATGGTCTAATGAAGATCTCTTTTGGGAATATGACTCTCGAGGTAAATGTTTTCAACATTGTAAAACAACCACAAGGTGATGATGAGTGTCACCAAACATTCTTGATCGACACACTTGTCGAGGAGGAGGTTCTGCTACAAAGCAACTCTGAAGATCTTGAAAACCTCCTCCAAAATTCTGAGTCTGAAAGTTCCGGTCCTTGTGAGTTGGCTAACATTTCTGCCATTTTCAACAACTCACAGGACAGAGGAATTAAGTTTAGACAACTTTGTTTCGAGGAACTTTCGCAAGGGAGAGAGAAACCAAAGCCTTCCATCAAAGAGACCCCTACAGTGAAACTTGCTCAACTACCTGAAGGATTGAAACATGCATTTTTGGGAGTTGGCGATCCCTTTCCTGTTATCATTTCTTCCAAACTCGATGCATCATAAGAGCGGCGGTTGATCAACATGCTACAAAAGCATAGATCTGCATTGGGTTGGACGATTGCTGACATTAAAGGGATCAATCATTTGATCTGCTCCCATCATATTCATTTGGAAGAAGGTGCTAACCCTTGAAGAGATCCTCAAAGAAGATTGAATCTAACAATGAAAGAAGTGGTGAAGAATGAGGTTCTCAAGCTATTAGACGTTGGCATCATTTATCCTGTTGCTGATAGCAAGTGGGTTAGTCTGACCCAGGTAGTGCCAAAGAAATCGGGGTCACTGTGGTGGAAATTGGGAAAGGGGCTCTAGTTCCCACAAAGGTCGTGACCGGTTGGCGCATGTGTATTGACTATCGCAAGCTTAACGCCGCCACTCACAAAGACCATTTTCCACTTCCATTCATCGATCAAATCCTAGAACGAGTGGCAAGTCATCCTTTCTATTGCTTTCTTGATGGTTATTCAGGATATTATCAGATAGAGATAGCATTAGAAGATCGGGATAAGACAACATTCACATGTCCTTTTGGCACTTATGCCTTTCGGCGAATGCCATTTGGACTGTGTAATGCACCTGCCACATTTCAGAGGTGTATGATGAGCATTTTCAGCGATATGATCGAAAAATGTATGGAAGTGTTCATGGATGATTTGACAGTCTTCGGAGATTCATTCGACATGTGCCTTCTCAACTTGGAAGCCGTTCTACAAAGATGTAAAGAGAAGGGTCTCGTGCTCAATTGGGAGAAGTGTCATTTCATGGTGTCATCCGGCATAGTTCTTGGGCACATTATTTCTGAAAGAGGAATCGAGGTCGACCGCTCTAAGGTTGAACTCATTTCTAACCTGCCTACCCCCAAGGCCGTTAAAGATGTCCGATCTTTTCTGGGGCACGCCGGATTCTACAGCAGGTTCATTCAGAACTTTTCATCTATCGCGAGACCGCTAAGTAACCTCCTAGCAAAAGATGCTGTGTTCAACTGGACACAAGAGTGTGAGGATGCATTCCGAACACTCATCGCAAAACTGACTTCTGCCCCTATTATGCAGTCACCAGATTGGAGCTTACCTTTCGAGATCATGTGTGACGCAAGTAACTACGTTGTGGGGGCCGTTCTTGGTCAACGGACGTAAGGGAAGCCTTTCGTTGTCTACTACGCAAGTCGTACTCTGAATAGTGCTCAAATGAACTACTCTACTACTGAAAAAGAGTTGCTTGCTGTAGTATTTGCTCTCGATAAGTTTCGTGCATATCTGATTGGTTCACCTATCACCATCTTCACAGATCATGCCGCCCTTAAGTACCTTCTCTCCAAAAAGGATGCTAAGGCGCGTTTAATTAGGTGGATCCTTCGTCTGCAGGAATTTAACTTGACAATCAAGGACAAGAAGGGAGTCAAAAATGTGGTGACGGACCACTTATCTCGTCTTGAATTTAATGAATCCGCCGAAATTCCTGCTATTAGAGATGACTTCCCCGATGAACATCTCTTCGCTGTCACTAAGATGCCATGGTATGCGAACATTGTTAACTACTT